AAATTGTTTCGCTATAAAAGGATTTAAGGGAGAGGGCATTCATACTTCAGTTCAAATCTAAAATTTTAGATTGATGGTTTTAATGGAACTTAGTCTTGGACATATATGAATATTGTGTTGAAATAATTCAACATAGGAAATTCGATGTATGAAAATATTGTAGCAAGAGACTGGTCATATATCAGGTCTTCATGTAAGACATTATGAATCGAGTCCCATTTGCTTCGAAAATTGGATCAATTACGTATGATATAATATTCATTTGGTCTGATTTTTCGAAATGATTTGGGCATTGAGAGGGAAAAAGGACTAGAGCGTGGTGTGACTAAAGTTGTTAGTCAACAATCAAAAACAGTATGAGATTTACTAAAGATTGGTTTCTTGTGGATAGTTGGAAGTATAGTATTATGTTGGACAGGCTATATTGACATATTTCTGGGTGGAGGTCTTTCTTATCCAAAATATATGATCATATGGAAATATGGAAATGTTTACATAACATGAGTTGATTATTGAAATATACATGTGAGTTAGTAACTTTAATGCAAGGAAGGTGTTCAAGGAGTGTATCTTGAATTTGATGACTTTGTTACCATGACATTGTTTTATGTAACAATATTTTAATGGAACATTTTGTAATATCGTTGGCAAAGTCTCTGTGACTTTGAAGCCTTGACACCACAAAAGGGATATTGCATGTAAGGTTGATCTCTAACACTTTTAGTAGTAACAAGAATTCAGAATTATGAAATGAGCATCATTGGATTAGTGTCCAATTGATATGTTCACAAAGGAAGGTCCATAAAGAGACATAGTATGCATGCTTATAACATGGCATGACTGATGTTTACTCAAGTGTTTAGTTAATTAATAGAAACAATATACAATGGATAAAGTCTAATTAATATGATGATTAAATAATAAGAGTTTTATTAATATTAAAGAGTTTGAGATCACAGTTAATTAGGTTATTATTGTGTTTCACTTTGCATGTTTTACTTCCCAAATAATTGGAATATTCAAACATCCACAATCACTCGTACTTTTGGAAGTAAGTAGCGAACTAAGACTATCATGAATGGAATTGTAGATTGTCTAAGGGTTTAGACATAGCAGTAGTTTTGCTACAATGTTCATGAGTACTTACAAATAGGGATTTTGAGTATTGGATTAACCCACGCTCAGAGAATTACTTCATGGATTTTATTACAAGTAATTTTTGAGACGATAATATCTTATATTCTTGAAACGGAGATATATGATTTGTTGTTTACAAGTAGGTTGTGCATTGATGATACATAAACACATCAGTAACTTGATGTTATACATATTGTTGTGTGTGATTTAATGAGTGAAAAGTACAATCATATAAGTTGAAGTTTATCCGTTCCTATTGCCCTAACAGAAAGAGCGATATTTGTGGTCCCCTTGATGATTTGATGATGACATTTAAAGTGATTGGCCAAGTCTGGACTAAATTGATGTGTTCAATTGATAGTCTGATTTCAGTTGTCATAAATCAAAAATCAGGAAAAAAAACTTGGACAATGAGATTGATTATAATCCATGTCTCATGTATGTACAATATCTTGTAGAACAGAGGAATATTTGATCACTTATTTTAGGACACATAACTAACCAGGTCACAGTTTGACAGAAACTTTGAGAGTTATAAGTTGCAAATCAGTTTTTGAAGAATATACTAACAACTATAGTTATTAGACTTATCCAAGTGGGAGACTGTTGGATTAGGTATCTAAGCCTATAACTATAATTGGTATATGCTTAAACTGATAGTAACACAGTTCTTTTGGGTTGCCCTCAAAACTAGCAGTTGGACAGGTGATTTTGGAGAGAGAGGTTGAATTTATTATTTTGATTAATAAATTGAAATAAATGATTTGTTAATATATTATAAGAATAATATATTAATTTTAAATAGTAATATTTAATCAAAAATTAATTGGAATTAATTTCGAGATTAAAAGAATTAATTAAAAGTGCTGGGATTGAATTGTAATTGTTCAATAGTTAAGCAAGAGACAATCCAGAACTATCCATATGGGGGGGGGGGGACAATTTTCCGGAGCCCAAGGGTTTCTAGAATACTCCCTGGTGGATAATAAGGAAAGTAGATAATTACCCGGTTTAAAAGATAATCTTGAGTTTAGGCGTATCTAGGGTTTCCTGACTGCACTATAAATAGGGCATAACCCTATGATTTTCAGCCAACTGATTCCCTAAAGGGTTAGACCGAAAATTTCATATTCTCTCATCCTTCTTCATCAAATCCCTTTGCTAGGGTTGGTTGTGAACCATTAGAGGTGCGACATTTGTGGCGCTTGCTCTCAAGGATTCAACGAAACAAGGTTTTCATTATTATTACTACATAACAATTGAGGTATGATTTTCTTAATCCTAATTATGTATTTTGATTATATACTAGTGTAATAGGGTTTCTACCTTTTTGTTCAATTTGTATGTTCTATTAGAGAAAGCTTAGATCAAATTATTTACGGTTGCATGCATACATAGAATTGCTTGTTATGCCCACAACCCATCACCATCCTCAACATCACCAAGAATTTCACTCAAATTTTGTGACTTAGATTGTTCCTCAACAACTTCATCTATAACTTGTCTGGCCATACCGTCATCAATATCTTGTTTTCCATTTTCCTAGTTTTTCCCTTCATCCACAGGTTGTTCAATTTCAACCACATTGTTAATATTCTCAAAATATGAACCTTACTAACAACTTTTTGTCCATCAATCTGAACTTGTCCCTCATCCATAGGTTTTTTTCCTTGACCTCCATCTCTACCTCCACCCCTTCTACCATTTATATTTCTCCTTTAAGCAATTGGCTGATTTGGCTCATTACTAGTTTTTGCACTCCTCCTTTTAGTCTTTCTCCTAGAACCAAATACTTGATTAGGATCCACATTTTGATTCATTGGAGTTTCAACTGTGGTACTTTCATGCTCCTCGTCATTTTTTCTTGGCCTACCAATTTTTTGGTTGCATGTGGAACACTTGGCCTTGTTTCATTTGTGCATATTTGTTTGTTATGTCCAAATTCTAAGCAATTATCACACCTCATAGTTCTGGATACTTTAACTCTTACGGTAGCAAACTAGGTCTCTTTTTCACTTGAATTCCTTATCCTTTTGGTGGCAGGTCGTCCTGGCATTCTCCTAGCTATTGGTGGAAAAGGCTTTTGGAATGCAGTTTGGTCCCATAAATTGTTCCCATTAATAGGCATTATGTTAGTTTTGTAACATTTCATAAACCTATCTTTTGAGAAGAATTCATTAACATATCCATCGGTTGTCTTATGAATATAGTTAATGGCAACATTTACATGAACACAAGGGATTCTAGAAAGATCCCAAAGCCTGCATGAACAAGTCTTCGCCTCCAAGTCTACCTTGAAATTTTCATAATTAAACCTAGCTTCAAACACTAAACCATGGCTATGAATAACCATCCAAAATCTGAAATTGGCACATAGATTTAGTAGACTCCTTCCTTTATCATTGGCTAGCATCATAGGGATATTCGATGTTTAATGAGATAGTAAAAACATTAACATAGAGCATTGATTTATAAAATACAAATGGAATTGGATAAATAATACATACCTCATATACTTCCCAAAAAGATTCATTTTTTCAACACATTTGGGCACACATTGGACTTCCATTTGTTACACTTATTAGTCATGTGAGCAAACCTATCCATTATGTAGATTTTTATCTCCTCAAGCATTGTTATTAAAGGCTTTTTCCTAGCTTCTATTATGATGGAGTTAAAGCATTATAAGATTCCATTCTCAACTGCTTCACATGCAAACCCTGGAGTAAAGTAAGCTTTACACCAAGTTCTAGGCTATTTGGACATCAAATACTCATATACACTAGGACTAAGCTTCTCTATTTCTCCCATATATATCTTGAAGTCTCCTTCTACACAACTTATTGTTGAAGCTCATAAAAGTCTTTTGAATTCTAATCTGGTGTAAGCCTTCTTGAAGTTTGCATAAATGTGTCTAGCACATTGTCTATGCTCCATATGTGGCAAAATGTCTTTCACAGCTTCCAGCAAGCCCATAAACATATAAGTACATTGTATATTAATACAAAACATTTCAAGTATATAGTATATTAATACAAAACATAGCAATTAAAAGTACCTTATGTTGGTCTGATATGATAACCCGCCCTTTACCACCATCCAACATTAGATCATCATGTATGAGCTCCAAAAACCAAGTCCAATTAGGTTTATTCTCCACATCTACAACAACCTAAGCTATTGGATGGACTTTTCATCCCTCCCAATTTTTGTCAACAGTTCACCTTTCACCTCACATTTCAAGAAGCATCCATCTAAACCAATCACTTTTCTACAACCACTTTTCCATCCACTACTTAAAGCCTTAAAACATATATAAAATATGTGGAAATAACTCTTTCCATCAGGGGTGTTGATGACACTAACATTGCAAGTAGACCCAAGGTTTAATCTTAAAAGCTCATAGGAGTAGTCCCATATTCTTGCATAATGCTCAGTTAGCTTTCCTTCAATTAACTCTTCTGCCTAATTTTTTGCCCTCCTACATTGGCCAATAGACACATCATATCTAAATGTTTGTTTAATATCACTTATCATCTCCCTAAGCTTAAGCTTTTGCTTGTTTCCAATCTCAGTCATGTAATGTATCTTAATCCATTCAGGAGACAATTGAACCAAACGTGAATGACCTTGAGCATTTGTGGATCCTAGTCATAGTTTTGATTGTAATGACCTTTCACTGTACATCTAAGCAGCATGCAATCTGAAAGGGCATTGGTTGTCTTTATTTCTTTCCCACATTTTGCAATAATTCTAACACTATCATACTTGGCAAAATATATTTGATACCCATGGGACACATCATAGTTTGCAACACAAAATTTAAGTTGCTCGATGGATTCAAATATATCACCAAGTTTTGGTTACATCTTGTTCCATCTGATGTTGGGATCATGAACCCTATACGTAGGTTGTACTTCTTCCTCATCATCTTTATCACTTTCCCAATCATTTTCATGATATATTTGTGCTCTCATTTCATCAGAAATACTTGCATTACGAAGATTGGCATCATGAAGTAATACATTCAAGAAATTATCCTTACACTTATCTAGTGTGGTCACAAACTCATCCTCTGGTTGATGGTCCATGGAAATACAATGTAGTTCAAAGTCCATCTCGTTCAACCCAGCAAAAGGTGCGTTCAAAGCAGCAAATGGGTCGTTCCATTCTTCCTTTGATGAACCCATTCTTCACTCCTACATAAAATCAAGGTTACATAACGTCATTTCAACTAAGATATCAAAGGAAAAAAATCAAAATTTAGTCCAAAACTATAAATACCTTACCTATGATGATCATCTTCTTTACTTGACTTACACTATCAACACTGATTAGCATCTTCTTCTTTACTCGAGCATATGATATCAATCAAACCCTAACAAGCTTTGAAAATGGAGAGAAATATGGGCGACAATGATGATTTTTGTGGAGAAATGGAGTAGACGTCCGTTTTGGTGTAAACGTGATGGATATTTGTGTTTCGATGTCTAACGGAAATGAAACGGAAGAAACAGACAAGATAACCGGACTAAATGAGAGGTGTGTCACTGAATGTTACCGGATGACATGCTAAATGGCATTTTTGACAAAAAGAGCCCAAATGTTGGGCATTAACGCACCAAAATTCATTGCATGGATTAAACCGAACAAATTTTGAAAACTTAGGGACTTTCTTTTTGAAACGGCAACTAACTAAACCTACTTCTAAATATCACATATCTCCTAAGAAACTTGATCTCATAACCTTTCATTTGAAATGATCACTCATTACCGCTAAGTCAAAGATCTTTTGGTAACTCATAGACTTTTAAGTGGAAAGCCCTTTGTTTCATAGGCATTGTAAATTGATATAAGCCGTTACTTTGTTGTGACTTGTGATAATGAATTTTTATATATATATTTTTTTAAATATAAAAGGTCATTTATGATTAACCTTTGGTTAAAATGTAAAAAAGTGCCACCGATAGTATAACTACACGTAGGCCTGCACAATGCTTCATATTGATTGATGCATCGCTTTGGTCACATAATTATTTATTTTTTCGTTTTCTTTTAGTTAATAAGTTTTTGTTTAAGGAATTAAAAGGTGTCAAATATCATTAAGATATAAACTGACTTATGGATTATTGATATGTCGCTATACTAAAAAAATCTTTAAAAATAGACAATATTAAAATAGAAATTGATCGAAAGACATTTCTTTTTATGTTTTGTTATTTGACTTCTAGTATTATCATTTTGGGTGTATTTCTAAGCAATGAGGGGAATGGTGTAGAGGGATGTTTGTTTGACTGAGATTAAGAAAGGAAAAATGTAATAATGTTTTATGGACCATGAATTTATAGGACTAAAGTAAAGGGTGGTTCGGTTATTACGTTTGCTCTTGCAATCTCAATGTTCGATTTTGATGTATCGAAATAATATCATCACATCAACTTCAAATTGACATCTTTTCAATTGATACTTAACAAAATTTATGATAAACGATGTTGACATAAAAAATCGAAGGGTCTATGAAATAAACGTATGGTTGGGTTCCCCACTGAGTTTGTGAGTGGCACATAACTGACACCAATAAAAAGTGACTTTTTTTTTTTTATAGAATAATTGATAAATTATTATTAAAAAAATATTATTATAACTAATAGGAAGTAACTTTTCAAATTTTAAGAAAAATGAAAATATTATCTCAAATAATTTGTTTTATTAGTTTCTGGGAATTTCACTGAAAAACATATAGTATATTTTCAAGATTATACGATTTTATTTGAAAAAACAATTATTTTATATATTTTTTAGGGAAAACTTCCATAAAAGTTTCCAAAAAAAATCGTTCATATTAAAAGAAATTAAGAAAAAAATAACTATTTCATTGAATGAGATCGATTAAAACCAGAGTTTCTCAAAAATAAACTAGTTTGTTACTAATTTATTGTTTGGTAAAACAATAAAAATAATTTATTTTAGCTTATGAACTAACTTATAAGCTAATTTTTGATAAGTTACATTGGGATAAGTTTATAAAGCTTTTTCAATCCAATTGGGTCGGTCATGGTGCCTTCGACCCACAAGTACAGTGAGGAAAACTCATCTCAAGTGGTTGAATATATAAGATAAACTGTCGATCCAGAAAACCATCGCGCTAACCATATCAAATAATGTCAAATTAATAGTTGGTCCACAACCTATAGCTAGAATCCTAATCCGATTGTCTAATACTCAGGGTAAAACTCCAGTTTTCCCTTTTCTCACTTGGCCTAAAATCCGAAGCATACCAATAGCAACACAAAAGCCCAATATGGCCCAATGTCTTAATTGGGCCCAAAACCCATCATGACATAATCTAAGGAGGCCCTATTTCCTAAAAAGCTCCCAAAATATCCTTAAGTCAAAGTTTGTCAAACATGGTCAAAGGTCCAAAAGTCAACGAGTCCTCACAGCGGGTTACGCCAGGTGTAGTACTAGAGTATGCCCAACATACTTTGAGGTTAACCAGGAAATGGGGTATTGGCCGTGTACACGTAATGTACCTCCAGGTACACCCAACGTACGTTGACCAGTCCCAAAACTCCATTAAGAGCTTAATTTATTAAGCCCTTCCACACAAAACTCAAATCCAAGTCCAAAATGATGTTCTAAGTCATAAAGTTTCCAACTTTATGACTTTTCATGGCTATAAAATGTTCAATACCAAAACCCAGAACTCCTTAACCCATTATGACTTCCTAATTTATGCATGAAAGGATAATAACAACCAGGAACCCATTTTTATGATTCAAGCTACTCCAAAACCTCTGAAACTACAAGTCATCGAGTCTAGAGTAAACGATACTCAAGAACACCAAACAAAAGGGACCAAAATGCATTAAACTTAACCACAACAAGAACTTGGTGCAATATTCTTAAAGGTAAGATATTTTTACCACCAAATGATGTCTAAAGGGGAGGTAGTTCTAGATTTAAGCTCCCTTTGAGTCCCTAAGATGATTCCATGACCTTCCCTCTCCTTCAAGGTCACCAAAAACACACACACAAGGCCAAAATGTCTACACAAGAGGTTAGGGTTTGCAAAGGTCAAGATGATTGATGGAGACTGGTGTAAAGAAAGGTCTTGAGACTATAGGGGGGATTAAATAGTGCACAAATCCAAACATTAGGGTTTTCATCTAGACCGAGTACGCCCAACGTACACTAGGAGTACGTCCAGTATACTTCCAAAACGATGACATTTTCTTTTATAAACCTTACGCCCTAACATACTAATGCAGGGCACTTTTCTTCCTTAAGTGCCACATGGGACCAATTCAAAAACAAAACTCCTTCCAAGGGTCAAAATGCAAATAATTCCCATATTAAGGGGATAAAAGGTAAATACTTGAAAATCGAGATGTTACAATTCTCTCCCACTTAAATCAGACTTCGTCCTTGAAGTCCGATACTGCAACTAACCCAGGGTAATGTTCCCACATCTCTACCTCGGGCCACTCAGACGGTCCTCCCCAGAATCCGATTTGAACTAAAAATCGATTTAATCTGGCGACTATTTTCCCATACTACTCTTATCCTAATCTTAACAAAACTCACGCACCCAGACCAATAATGAATCCTTGACCCGCTCACTTTTAACACTAAAGAAAACCATCACAATCCTCCCAAAATTCAGAAATCCAATACCTCGACTGTAACGCCCGTAGATTCGGGATAGTCAATTTAGAGACAATAAGCATCAAAAATGACTTTGTGATAGAAGATTATCTAGAATAAATAATCTTAAAAAGTTATAGTATATGTCACAAAGGTTCCGTACATATAAAGAACGCCGAAATCCGAGTTACAACAAAGAAGTTATGATTTGTCGAAGTTTTACGGCAAAACCAACACGACACCGGGAATCGTAAAAAGTGAATTTTTGAAAACTACTTTTTAGCCTTAGATATCTAAATGAAAGTTGTATTATACGTTAAACCAAGAGCGTGAGGAAAAAAAATGTCAAAATCTGACTTCATATGAGGAAGTTGTGATTTTTCTAAGATTTCGCATAGCAGTATACAACCCGCAATTCGAATTTCAGATCTAGTGATTTTTAGCCGAGAAAACCTAAATTAGAATTAAATATCTAATTAATAGGAGCTCAATGATAAAATACGGTTGAAAACAGAGTTCGTATGTAGAAGTTATGAATGTTACACGGTCGTAAACAATGTAATATTCTCATATTGTTAAATTTAAAATCGGTCGAGAATTAGCCGGTGGAGTCTAAACGAAAGTTGTAGATTATGTCTCCACCTACGCTTGGATATAAAGAACATTGAAAACGGAGCTCGTATGCGAAAGTTACAGGGTTTAGAAGTTGGCGGGGTGCTGATGCGAAGAGGGTGACGTGGCTGAATCTGGGCCATTGCTTTCTCCCCAAGCCTTGCCACCAGAGAGTGACATGTGGCACCAACTCAACGAGTTGAGCAATACTTTAGCCTATAAATAACATGCGAAGGTTGCTTCATTTCTCACACATTCTACTATTTCTTTCTCACTTTAAACTCTCTCTAAACCTCCCAACCCCCCCCCCCCCTAAAGCCCTAGGAAACTCCCCTAGCGCTAGAAGAAAGCTCCGAGAAAAAGAGCTTTTTGGCTCGGAAGTTCTTCCCCCGGAGAGCCCGGTTCCTAACCAAACCCCCCGGTAAGCGAGTTATTCTAACCCTACTTTAAGTATAACTTATCTTTAAGTTCATCATCGTTATTATGAACTTATAAACAAAATTTATCGGTGGTTCCAAGTCATTATAGTGATTGATCTACTACTTACTAGGATGATGTCTAGGCTGTTATTTAGTGAGGTGTTTAAAGTGGGATTTCCAAACAGTATACTTCGTATACCAAACGGACCCTACCTCCGATATGATCCTACTTGGTTATCCCTTACTTGATTGATCATGAAAGTAGACTTTGAGTTAATGATGAATCTAGACTAATAATTAGTCGCAATAAAGATTAGATTAAAACTTAGCGATAATAATTCTAGGTTTTATCGAAGGAAAATAGAATCATTAGAAGCAAAGCGCTACCCGAGTTTGGAATCATCACTTTAACAAGTGAGTACATAGTCCCTTTCATGAGCATGATTTTAATACAAGTATTGATTGAAGTATTAAATATATGTTTATGTGCGAATTGTTTAATGTTACCTGAA